ATTGTTGTATATTGATATAAGAGTAAATACCCAAAATGGTCCCTCGACTATAGCTAAATTCACAAATTAGTCCTTGACTTTCAATTTCAACCAATTAAGTCTGATAACGATAATACAGGGTAGTGTATTTATACGGTCGTGGACAAGGCCCGGGTTCCCGGTGTCTGGTCGAGAAGCTCTTGTGTTGTCTTGTCCCCCCCCCCCCCCCCCCCCCCCGAAAGTCTCTTTCATGATGCATTTAATGCGCTATTTATAGGATCCAAAAGTGGGTATCTCCGGGCTTCCGGCATGGCCTACACGTGGCAAACATGCACCGGATGCCGCCGCAGGCCGTGTGACTGCCCGCCACGCGGCGCTTAGGATCTGACTCCCTTTTAGTTCAAAGGCGCCCATACGACCGGGCACCGACCGACAGGGACTGGCCGGTCGGTCTGCCCAGTGCACGGTCTTCGGGTGGTTCAGCCGGTCGCCCGGTTCCGGGCGGTCGGGTCGGGTTGCTAGGGCCCCTAACGGGGCGGCCGGGCAACTACCGACCGCCGTACGCTCTGTGTCCGGGCGTATATCCCTATCACATAGCCCCCCTGGCTCGCTGGTCCGACTAGGTGGATCGCGACGCACCGTGGCCGCAATCGCGGGCCGTTTATGGGCGATGGGAGGCACGCGTCAACCTGGGGGCCTCTCGAGATACGGGTCCAAAAACTAGGCGTTGGAGCGTTTCCCGCCAATTTTCATGCCTATAAGTAGCGCCTTGGCCAAGGTCCCACTGTGTTCTCAGATTCTTCTAGCGTCAACCGGACATTCCCGAGCGGCTACAAATCTCTACCTAACGCGATTTCCAAGTCATTCCACTCGGTACGTGACTCTTCTCTTTCCTTTCCTTTTCCATCTGGTCTTTTAGGATTGCCTAGGCCCTTAGTATCCAGTTAGTCGTGACTCGGGCGCTTAAGTGGGGCATCATCGTCTGAACACTACCTCTCCCCCTTGATCTTTTAGGGGCGGGATCATGTTGAGTTCCGATAGCCAGAATCACTCAGGATTACGCGGCCGGCAGCGGCGATGAGTCAGAGAGGACCACTTCCGAGCGATCTTCGACCGGGCGCACAGGCACGGCCAGGAGTGACGATGCTCATGCTCCCCAGTTCGGTACCGACGACGTTTCAACACGGGGGCGGTCTGATAGTCGTTCAGTGCCGGATGATGCTCTTCGCGTACCCGATTTTGAGGCCGGGACGGTCCGGGTGCGTTCAGGGTCGGGCGAGAGTGAAGTCCCTGCGGACGCAGTCGGTACATCCGGTCAAAGTTCTCCAGCTTACGGTAACCAGGGTCGAGGGTTGCCACCCGGCGCTATGGCCGCAGCCCTCGACCCTTCGCTATCGCCTAGGTCAGCGACCCGTTTGGCCGACGACCTTTTGAATAAGAAGAGGGTTTTCTTGAGTAGCCTGTCTGCCGAAAAACATCAGAGCTTGCTGACTAAGAAGGATGCGGAGGACACCGCTACCCTCCTGACCGGGCGGGTCTTGTTCAACACCCGGAGGTCCCGGGGGACGGTCATAGAGCGCACGCAGGGGCTTTGGCTCGGGATGCACCTCGATTCCCTGAAGACCCCCTTGACCTATCCCTTCAGCCCGTTTCTCCTCGCCTTCTTGAAGTACTATGGCGTTCTTCCGGACCAAATTTGTCCCAATGCGCACCGGATCATAGCGTGTTTCTCGCAAATTTGCGCCCGGCACGGTCTTGAATGTTCGATGGACTTGTTCAATTTTGTGTACTCGGTCCACCCGCTTGCGGCTCGGTATGGAGGAGGGTTCTTGGCCGCCCAGACTCGGAGTCATCATTGTAACATCCTGGATTTTCCGGAGAACAATCGGGGTTGGAAGAACCGGATCGTTTCTATCGAGTATCCCTGGGAGCTTCCGGTAAAGAGGGTTTGGTCCCTCCACTTTACCGCGTGTAAACGTCCCGATCCAACACGGGTCTTGAAAACCGCAGCGGCTAAGATTTCTTCTGAGTTTTATGAGTTCCTTATCTTCCGGTCGACCGCCGAGTACGAAGATGCTCGTCTCGAGCCACCGAGGTACGACCTGTCGGAGAAGTATGTTCCTTTGCGAGCCGAGGTGACGGTGGCCGTGCAACCGGCGGCTCTGGTTCCCGAGTAGGAAGGTTTGTTCGCACATTACCCGCACGGACGAGGGGTGTACGTGTATTACTTTCCTGTGTTTAACTTGTACGTGCATTATCTTCTTGCAGGTATGAAGCCTGGTCGAAGTTTTCAGGCGGCACCTTCCGCGGTCAAGGTTCCCCGTCCCAAGGCGACTCTAGGTGGGAAGAAGGTGACGGCGTCCGACGCTCCTCCGGCCGCAGTGCCCACCACCTCCGTTCTGACCGCAGTTCCCCTCAACGTGACCAACCGGGTAGACGAGGCGGCTCCGACTTTAAGCACCGGGTCGGACTTGCAGATCATTAAGGCCACGGGCAAGCGCGGCAAGGAGAAGGTGGGGGAGTCTGAAGGCGCTGTCAAACGGGCGCGCCGCCAAAGTCCTCCCGAGCTAACCCCTCTCATGAACTCCCTGACGGGCGGTGATTTACCGGGCAACCCGTTGGCGAAGTTGAGCGCCATCTTCCCAGCCGAGGACGATATGGCCGGGTGGACCCCGGAACAGGTTTCCGAGCGCGGGGCTGAGAACTTAGTGCAGGTATGCTTTTCCCTAATCTGGTCTTCTTTATAACCGCCACTCCGGCTAACAAGCTTTATTACAGCTTACTCGGGTGCTCACCTCACTCTACTACCGGTCGAAGAGCTGGTCGGAGAGCGACTCTCTCAAGAAGGAGGTGAAAGAGCTACGGAAAAAGCTGAAGGCGTCTGAAGATGGCAAGGAGATTGCCGAGGCCATCGCCAAGAAGGCGATCGAAGAGGCCGACGAGGCCCGGAAGGAGGATGAAGACCTTCGCTTACGGCTGCGGGACCCGGTTGGCTTGGCCGCCTCTCTCTGCCAAGACTCGGCGGTTGCTGAGCAGTTTTTCCGGTCGTTCATCAAGTACAAGGTGGCTGAGGATATGGTGTGGGTTTTTGGCAACTGGGCTTATGCTTCCGGTCGACGGGATACGCACCGGGAGGTGAGGTCGGTTCTATCCGAAGTTTTCGAGGGGAATGACCTCGATACGATCTTAGCCAATCTGTCGGAGAGCGTTGCCGATCCCGGCCCAATGCCATACGCCGAGGCGGACGCAGGCGAGCCCTCCGCGGCTACCGGAAAAGACCCCGCAAGTTAGGCCGCCGTTAGTTGGCGTTTGGGAGGTTATTATTCTGAAACTTCGTTTGGGAGCCCAGTCCCTGTTGTACCAGGCGTTGAATTGTTCCCCCTTTTTGAATGATGTCGCTCGGTTTTATTTTGCGTTTGTGCTTCAAGCTTTGAATTTTTACTTAGCGTGTTTCGATTTTCCTGCCATTTTCATTTCGATTACATTTTTGTCCATTCGACACGCGAGTTGTCCGTCGCTCGGGATCCCCCTTATAGCCCCCCGAGTCCGGGCGGCCATGACGGTTGGTCAATTGCCGGTCGGACTACAAGAAGAAGAGGGGAACGCGAAAAGATGCGTGTATATCCCCCCGAGTCCGAGCGGCTACGACGGTCGGTCGATTGCCGGTCGGACTACTAAGGAAATGAGGCAAACGCGAAAAAACGCGTGTATAGCCCCCCGAGTCCGAGCGGCTACGACGGTCGGTCGATTGCCAGTCGAACTACTAAGGAAAGGAGGCAAACGCGAAAAAACGTGTGTATAGCCCCCCGAGTCCGAGCGACTACGACGGTAATGATGACGGTAATACAGGGTAGTGTATTTATACGGTCGTGGACAAGGCCCGGGTTCCCGGTGTCTGGTCGGGAAGCTCTTGTGTTGTCTTGTCCCCTCCCCTCTCGAAAGTCCCTTTCATGATGCATTTAATGCGCTATTTATAGGATCCAAAAGTTGGTATCTCCGGGCTTCCGGCATGACCTACACGTGGCAAACATGCACCGGATGCCGCCGCAGGCCGTGTGACTGCCCGCCACGCGGCGCTTAGGATCTGACTCCCTTTTAGTTCAAAGGCGCCCATACGACCAGGCACCGACCGACGGGGACAGGCCGGTCGGTCTGCCCAGCGCACGGTCTTCGGGTGATTCAGCCGGTCGCCCGGTTCCGGACGGTCGGGTCGGGTTGCTGGGGCCCTAACGGGGCGGCCGGGCAACTATCGACCGCCGTACGCTCTGTGTCCGGGCGTATATCCCTATCAAAGTCCTTAACTTTGTAATTTTAACACAATATGGTCCTCTGTCTATTTGACCGTTTGTTGACTGTGATTTTTGAGGATATATATGTAATTTCATGGTCAATCGTCGGTTTTTTAAGGTTCTGGTTGCATTTCCAGACCGCACTGTTACATTTGAATCCACTGTCGAAAGCAATCTACCAAATCCGGTCGCCTTTCTTTATCCTCCCTTTGAATTCAATGTAGTTGAGTTCGTACTAGAGCGAAGAAGACGACGTGTTTCCGAACCAGTGCAATGTCATCCTGGAGGCCTCCACGTGCTCTGACGAGAGCTGAAGGTTCTTCTGGAGATCGTCGATCACGGTCAACAAACGGTCAAATAGATGGAGGATCAAATCGTGTCAAAATTACAAAGTTAAGGACTTAATTGGCTGAAATTGAAAGTCGAGAACTAATTTGTGAATTTAGCTATAGTCAATGGACCATTTTGGGTATTTACTCTTGATATAATGGGGAGTTTAAAAGGGGTAAATGTGGAGACAAAAATGTGAAATATGTTATGATTATCCGAAAGTCCAAATTCCAAAATACAAGGGCAATTTGGTAATTTCACACCGCCTGTCTTCCTGCCGAAGAAGAAAGCTCCCTCTCATTGCTTCTTCAAGCTATGTTTATAATCCCCATCAACTTCTCCTTGCCACCGAAGAATTTCTCTCTCTCTCTCTCTCCCTCCCTCTCTCTATATATATATATATCTATTTATAGCTGAATCCCTCTCTGCTTTTCTCTTCTGCCGAGTTATGGGTTTGAGCCCACTGTACTCCCATGCTTATCACGTTATCATCGTCCTCACCACCACTTTCTTTCGCCACAAGCTCTGAATCGAATCTCCATTTTTGCTCTCTGCTTATTACAGCCTTATATAGCTTCTTCCTCTGCTGAACCCATTTTTCTCGTTCTCCTTCTGAGCTCTGCAACTTTTGAAAAGCTTCAGAGCTAAATTGAGAAGCTATATATGGAGGGCACTGGGAAGATGAGTTCTTGTGTTGATAACAGAGTTCTTCTTCAAAACGATAGATTTCCTTCCCCTTCTGAGGTTCTTGATTCCTTCTGGCTTCCCACCTCTAACCCTTCTTTTCAAGGTAATTTCTTGCTTACCCATCTCAAGATTTGCCATTCTTTTCTGCATTCAAGCTCAAAGATTGGATCTTTTTGCCTGGGTTTGTCTGTTCTTGAATCTTGAATTCTGGGCTTGCCTCTGTTTAATGATTTTGAGGTTGTTTGGTCTTTTCAGTGTTTTCATTGGGGAAATCATTAAATAAATTATTAAACTTTATTAGTTATTTTAACGTTAAAATGTTACAATTAAACATATCAACATGTTATGTTTGGAGATATGAACTTAATTATTAATTATCCACTAATAATTAGTGTTTCAGGATTTAAATTGGAGACCGATAACTGTCAAACTATCGTCGGTTGCTTTCTCGTTTTGAGGAAGAAGACAATTGATGGTTTGATTGTTGAAATCTTAATTATAGAGATATTATGGGTGAATAATTGGTTATTGGGCTCTAGATGTATAGAAATGATAAGTTAGTGTATTCAATTATAACTTTTTAATGTTTGGGTTTAATTGATTTTTTGTAGAAGTTTCAAGAGTTTATTTTATTCTTTTTTCCATTTTTATTTGAGGTATTTTGTGTGCTTTTGCAATGATAAATATCATATTTTTAGCAGTTTTCTAAACATTTTTTGTCTGTTCTCCCTTGGGAAGTAGATACGATTCTGAAATTTGAAGATTGTAGTCAGACAGGGCACCACAAAGAACTGAGCTTTCACATGTTGAAAACCATAAAATTTCTCAAAACTTTACATTAAAAACGGTGGCAATATAATGTTTTTTTTTTTTCAGCTTCTGCATCATCCATGGTGAATTTCAACGGCGGCGGTGGAGAGATGGAACGCGGCGGCGGCAATGAGGACTATGGCGGCGGTGGGTTCTATCAGGCGGAGAAGAAGCGGCGGCTCAGCCCTGAGCAAGTCCACTTTCTGGAGCAAAGTTTTGAGGTGGAAAACAAGCTTGAACCGGAGAGGAAAGCCCAACTGGCTAAGGACTTGGGGCTGCAGCCCAGACAGGTTGCGGTTTGGTTCCAGAACCGGCGTGCCAGATTCAAGACAAAACATATTGAGAAAGAATATGATTCCTTGAAGTCTTGCTATGATCAACTCAAAGCTGATTGTGATTCCCTATCCAAGGAAAATGAGCAATTGAGAAATGAGGTATCCTCCATCTGTCTCAACTAAAAGTTTATATTATATTCGATAGGTTAATGTTACAGGTGTCCCGGGACAAATACTTTTTAAAGCTAATAGTGTGTTAAGAGATCACCATTCTTGAATTCAATTACCAACCTGAAGGGTTACTCCAGTCAAGTTGGTCAAATAAGTTGGACTGTTTATTGCCCTTATTGATTTGAATCAATTAGCTATAAGCAACTTAGGTTGATTTACAAGTTCGACTCCAGCAATTTGAGTCAAGCAGTTATAGGCAATCTAGACTGGTTTACAAGTTCGATTCCCAACAGGAGTAGGCTAATGACCTTGGTTGTAATTATGGACAACGTTTACCTTCTTGTAGTCGTTTGCTAACTACCATTATAAAGTGAATTTTACTCAATACACATTTTTGAGTAATGACTGTGAATTTTTCTAGTAACCCAAAAAAAGTTGTGTGATTAAGGGATAGTGACAATGGTTTTTGACAGGTTCAACTGCTGACAGAAAAGTTGATGAGGAAAGAAAAGGGTTCTGGCGGCTTTCCTCAACCGGCAAAACCAGAATCATCATTGGATCCAACCACCAACAGAAACCTGGGAAAACCTCAAGAACAGCTAATCCTCCACACCACAAACTCCTCCCAGGATAATAATGTGTGCAAGCAAGAGGATGCAATAAGTTCAGCTAAGAGTGATGTGTTTGATTCGGACAGCCCCCGTTACACGGATGGGATCCATTCCTCCTCCTTGTTCCTGCAGCAGGAGCCTGCAGATTCCTCGAATGTTCTCGACTCCGATTTCTCCCAGGACGACGATGATAGCCTCAACCGCGGCCTCATTCACTCGCCCTGCGTTTTCCCAAAGCTCGAAGAAGAAGAGGATAAAGATCATTGCCTGCAAATGCTGCCACCATATTCTTGCGGTTTGGGGTTTTCTGTTGAGGATCAGACTGCACCTTCTTGGTTCTGGTCTTATTGATCTTAGCATATTGTTAGCTGTTAAAAGTTTAGTACTATGATAATACTACCTAGTAGTGCTTTCTGGTCCAATAAATATGTTGTAAAGTAAAGAATAATAATGTTGAATTTGAGACTAGGTAATGAAGTGAGCTTTTTGGTGGTTCCAACTTCATGTGGATCACCATCCATCTAGATACTTGAAATTAAACATCTTTTTTCGATTCGTCTCGACTAAAAGTATAAACTAACCGTATGTATATAAGGTTACAAGAATCTAACTACCCTAGCCTATGAGGTCTTGAGACCCCGAAAACATCCTTGTGAAGAAGGTGCCTAAAGGGTGTGTTTGGTTCGAACGTAAGAATCAAAATCGAAATAAGAATAAAATACTTGAAAATTTGAATGAGTTTTGATGAAAGTATTTTGCATGTTGGGTGGTAGGATGGAATTAGAATAATTACCAATAATGATGTCTGGTTATGTTTGATCTTATGATCATAATAAATGTTTTAAAAATACAAAGAATAAACGCGTAACACTTTTGTAAGCATCATTAATCAAAGATTTGACCTGTATCACGGATTGAGACCTGTGAGATGGTCTTACACAAATTTTTGCTAAAATAAAATATCAAGGCAATTAATCGAACTTGATGAAGTGCGGAGAGATGAGTGATGAGGCAACGAAATGAGAAAAGAGATGAAATGAGGAAATATGCTTAACTAATGGAATGATACCTTATTTAAATTAAGTAATGAACGGGTTAACTATGAACAATCTAGGTTGTTAGGTAATAAGACGAATTTCACCTATAACACACTTTTGAGTAGCACTTGTGAACTTTCCTATAAATCACACAGTTTTTTTTTTAGACAAGATCAACGTATAGGATTAACAATTTTTTTTTTAAACCCGGTGGCAATTTGGTAATTCTGCATCTAGGTTAAATTTAAACTTAAGGTGCGTGATTTTCGTTCTTAAGGTGCATCGGTCTAAAGTTTTAGGTTTTTTTTTTTTTCTATGTAAACCACAAAGTGGTTCGGGTATTTCTCTATCCGTTTAACGGTCCAAGTCCACCCAGTTTGCTCTGAGACGCAAGAGGCGGTCCAAAGGGAATCATCACTTGCGAGAATCGAACCCGGGTTATCCCGTAATTCTTTCCCACAAAGAGAGCTCATTTGCCACTTGAGCTACCATGTTAGGTTATGTGAGTTTTCTTGTTAAGGTGCATTGTTTTCATTCTTAAAGTGCATTGTTTTCCTTCTTAATGTGCTTTGTTTTTCCTTCTTAAGAAAAAATAAAATAAAATGAATGAATTTTTATTAATTTTATAAACAATTTCATGACTTCCTTTAGGTTGTCTATCATCCCAGGTGCTCAGATGATAGAATTAATGGAGGACGTGTGTCTTTTTTTTTTTTTTTTTTAATTTTCATTGATTTGAGCCATTGATATAGATTTGATCAATGGCTATCTAGATCAATAACTCAGATCTAATCCATTTTTATCTGGTAGCAGCCCTACACCAGAACTCATCAATATATATATATATATATATATATATATATATATATATATATATATATTATATGTATGTATGTATGTATATATAGACGCAGACGCAAGGCGGTCAAGTAATTCGAGTATATCGTCTTCACTTTTGCCCACTCAGAGCTAGGAGTTGATAGACTATTACAATTCTCAAGCTTGTTAAGTACATATATTAGATGGTTAGTTAAGTACATGGCTGGAGAGATATAAAAGAGGAATAACTGAACATGCAAAAAAATCACTCGACCGACTAAAAGTCGCCTAAGATTGAAATCGCCTCGCCTAGACCTTGGACGCCTAGGCGACCACCTAGACTGATTCTTACAACATTGATAAAAAGTTGTGAAATTATATATTATATAAATTTGTGTATAAAATCGTAGAAAATTTTATTAAAGTGCCGATTAAGCACCCTTGACTCTTATATGTGGTAGGCTGGTAGCAATATAGCTCTCCAAAGTAAATAGTGAAAGTTTTACTTGCTTTAAATAATAATAAATATTTTTTGTCTTCTCCTAGTCAAATTATATTTACCATAAACTAGTCAAAATAACCTTTAAAAAAAAGGGGATATTTATGTAGAGAAGACAAAGGAATCAATGGCAAGTGTTAACGGGGATCACGTCGGCAGGATCCCAACGTCCGACGTGCACGTGTCCTCTAGAACAAGTCGTAATCAACAGTGCCACGTAATCAGAGGAAGCGTACACCACGGAGAAGCCCGCGGGGCCCGTTGACCGCGACGTGGCAGATCTTACACGGTTGAGCTTCAATGGTGGGCGGGCCCAGCTGTCGCTGTCAATCATTCTTTCCTGCGTTGTGGATAAGAATGTGAAGTCCGGTGGGGAATGGAGGGCCCGATAGCCAAGTAGGGGAATCCGATGGGTCGGGCTCCAGGTAAACTCCTCAGTTGACACGAGGTTTAAAAAGTCAAAATTTAAAACTCCCTAAGAAATTTTTTTTGAATAAATTTTAAGGACACATAGTGGGCGGGCCTAAATTGGGGGAGTGAGCCGAATTTTAATTCGTGAGACGAATTATGTCAGGTCGAATTAATATGTAAATGTATATTAAATTAAAAATAAAATATTTATTACTTAGAAAACATATATTTTCTTTTATAAATAATATTGCATGAAAAATGTAAATTTCTTTTTTTTTTTTTTTTTTGGATCAACGGGACGGAGATATCCGGGGAGGCTCAAAATTAGTTGGACTCCCTAACTCTACGAGCACTTGTGACACGGGCTATATCATGAAGTTAAGCCTCTTCGCTAATGATGGGGCACGTTTTGTAGATAGTCGAATCTTCTTACTGGAACGCTCTAGAGGTAGCTAAAGCATCCAAAACCCGATTTTGCTCCCTATAGATAGTACACACGGAAATTCTCCAATTCATCCCAATCTAATGCTTGGCTTCCTCAATTATTTCTCGGATAGGCCCACGAAGGTTGATGTCTATGTGAAAAAAAAAATGTAATATTTTAACATTAAAATGTAAAAGTATTATATTTCGTATTTTTTCTCAAAATATTATTTTTTAATATAAATAATATAATTTTTTTTTTGATTTAGTATTACATTGGATCTGTGAGATCTCACACAAGTATTTGTTTAAATTTTAAGCTTAATTCGGAAAAAAAAATTGAATTATAAAATTTTAAATTTTAAATTTAAACTCGGTTTTATTAACAACCAGTTTGCACCTCTAATTAGGTATTTGGGTTGGGCTTTGGCTTTATTGTTTGGACAGCGATGGTTCGGGAGGGTCCAGCTCTCTTACTTTTCGGGCCGCTGATAGGGTGCTGTCACATGAGTATGGTCACAGTCGAGGGGCACCACGGGCCACGTGCACACCATGCCTTCTTGTCCCACGAATGTTCATTTGGGTATAATTGTTTGTTCATTCACTCCCATGTTGTTTTGTATCCCAATTTAGTCCATTTGTCATGTACAGATGTACTTAGGCTGTTAGGTACTAACAAATGTCTCAGTTGAGTTTTGATTCATTAATAGCAGTTATAATGACCGTTGACCATATTTCAATTTGAATACACTTTACCTCGAAATGAGTGATTAAATGAGCTAAAGGTCGGTTTGAAAACCCGAAAATTGACTTCTGACAAATATTTTTGGAGTTTTCAGTATTTGGATGCAACAGAAAAATCCAGTCAACGAAAAATATTTTTCGTTGACTGGGGAAAATGAAGCCATTTTGGCGGAAAATGACTTCCGCCAAAATGTTTAAACATACAATTCTACTCATTTTTCCAGAAAAATAAACTAAACACACTAAATTTTTCAAAATGCAACCAAATACTGGAAAAAAAAATGTTTTCTGAAAAATAACTCATTTTTCAGAAGTCATTTTCCTGCTTTCCAAACGGACTCTAAGGGGATGTTTGGTTCATGGAAAATGTTTTCCAAAGGAAAACATTTTCCTTAAAGTGAAGGAAAATGTTGTTTTCTAGTGTTTGGTTCATGGAATTCATTTTCCATTGGAAAATGAATTCCTCAAATTTGAGGAAAACAAAATCCTTGGTTGGACCAAGGATTTTGTTTTCCATGGAAGATGGGAAGAAAAAGTGAATAGATTGCCTATTTTACCCTTATTTTCTTTTTTAATTATATTACTTTTATTAATTTGTAGGGGCATATAGGTCTTTATACTCATTATTCCTTACAATTTCAAATCTAACAAAACAATAGAATTAGTATTCCCAGTAATTCTTTTTCCACCAACCAAACAATGAAATTCATCTTACTAATAATTGTTTTTCCATAGAATTCCAATTCTACTTCCCTTAAAATATTTTCCGCGAACCAAACAAGCCCAAAGTATAATTCTAGTGTACTTATGTATTTGTCCTTTTGGTCGAGCCCGTTACACATATTCCCGTTAACATATATAACTACTTGAATTTGTTCTAGACAATCTTCATCAATTTTTTAAATTTCGAACAAGACTTTCAAGGTCATCCTTAAACAATTAAGCTAAGTCCCATGGTGCCATTCCAAACCAATTTAACCCTACACGGGTATCTGAGCCCATTTTTTTTATTTTTTATTTTTTGTCTTTTAAACAAGAAATAAACCTTTGGTTATCACTATCGTGGATCTGTGCCCTTAGGTATCATAAATCATAATCATCTTTTTGTTACCAAAAAAAGTTGTGGTCTCAGTGTCTCACCAAATTAAAATAATTTGTTTGGTGTAAAAACAACTAATATAGTCCAAGGACTGTGGCCCAAGTTGACATAAGCCCAATTCGTGGTTTCCTTTTTTTTTTTTTTTTTTTTTTTTTTTGGTTTTTGGTTTTGTTTTGTTTATATAGTAGCGAGATGACACAAGGATATAAATACGTTATCTACTCACTTACGAGATAACACTTGACCATGGCACTATAGTGGATTGTGCTTGATATCTCTTTCTATTATGCTAATCTAGATTCAATTTGATAGTTGTTTATAGAATTTAACTTAATAATTTTAAATTATTTTATTCAAACTTCTAGCTTGGAATTATATTAGTAGTACGTATGTTTACGAATTGTAATAAGGTATTGTGTTAAATAATAATTTTAATTTCACTATATATAAAATAACTTTATAATTTTTTCAAAAAAAAAATAACTTTATCATTCTTTTATAAT